CGCGGAGTGCAGTCCTCCTCGGAACACAGGGGTGGGCGATGATCTGAACGCACATGAAAAAAGGGTCTCTTTCCAATAGCCTCCTTTGCTTCATTCCTGGCCAGCACTGCCTTGAAGCAGACTCCTACCGCCTTTCTGCAGTACATGACAGCACACAACGCTCATAAAAATACACGAGTAGAGTAGATTTTAGAGGAGAAATGATGCCGTTGTTGGAAAAGAATATTGCACGTACCATGGACTGAGAGAAGAATGAACAAAGCTGTCTTGGAGGAAGTAGACAGAACAGAATGCTCCTTAGAAAAGAGGACGCCAAGACTTTATCTCATGTACTGTGGCCATGTTATCAGGAAAGACCAGTCACTGGAGAAGGACATCTTGATTTGTGAAGTAGCAGGTCCGTGAGCAAGAGGAAGAACTTCAACGAGATGGATTGGCACAGTGGCTGCTGCAATGGGTTCAACATTGGAATGCGTGTGAGGATGGCACTGAACTGGGCACTGTTTGTTCTGCTGCACACAGGGTAGCCATACATAGGAACCAACGTGACTGCAGCTAACAGCAACACATTGCCCAGGAAATCAGGTGAACTCAAGGAGAGGTCACAAAGCATGCCAGAGAACAGTCAACCTACATATGCAGTTCCTCAGAAGGCCCCTTCAGTCAGTCACCTGCCCGTGTCCACCATGACCTGTGCCCACCAACACCACCAGTCTCCCTTATCCCCCGAGTTGTGCTGGGATTTGACACCTTCTCCAACTGATTGTGATGGTGCAGTGATTCTTCTTTCTTCACTGAATCTTGGACACCAGCTATTACTCTTGTGCTTCAACTACAATCTGCCAAAATCACTGCACATCTTTCTCCAAACATCTGCTCATGTGCACATGCACACACACACACACACACACACACACACACACACACAGAGTGGTAACATGCTCAAGCCCTGGAGTCCCCTTCAAGTTTCAGGTTCAAATCCACAACTAGCCTTTATGAGATCTTGGGCAAGTGACTTTGGTTACTTGCTTTCTCAACCATTAACAGGAGATGACTGTGAAACCGGCTGTGTTTGGTTGTCATGAAGATTCAGTGAGATAATCTATGTAATAATGAGCTGATACACAACAACCATTTTGAGGATGGGGCAGGACAGTGTCTCCTTGTGTTGCCCACCAGGCCTCTATGAGTTAGAACCAGTGCAACGACATGTAACAACAAGGTAAAATACATGAAAATATTTCTAGATTATATAACCAAAAAACTTAATCCACTGCTATCTAGTTGATTGTAGCTCATGGCGATCCCATGCATGTCAGAGGAGAATTGTACTCCTTAGGGTTTTCTGGGATGTAACCTTCCTGCAAACTGCTCATCAGGCTTCTCTTCTGTGACACTGCTGGGTGGATTTGAACTGCCAACCTTTAGGCTACTGGTGGAGTATAAACAGCTTGTGCCAAATGAGTACCTGTAAGTACTCAGTACATGCTGGACACTCTTTTTCAAGTAAATCATTTTAGTCAAAATCAGAGACTGTACCCTCAGTATTTTGCAGGGATCCCATCAATATTCAATGAATGAAAACATTTTAATTCTCCCAATCTTACTTCTTTTCTTCCTACAGTCCAGTGAAGCTCTTTAAATGCGTGGACCATAGCACTCATCCGCACTGCGTCTTAAATTCTAAGTAAGTATTTTCACTCAATCTCCTCTCTTCCTAGGGTAGCCAGCTCTGAGTATTTGTACATCTCTGGCGAACTGCAAGGGTCCATAGGTGGTGCAAATGGTGAACAATGCTGCTGCTTACCAAGAGATTAGAGGCTGAAACCTATCTGAACGTTCTTGGGAAGAAAGACCAAATGACCACAGAGAAATCAGTGGAGCCCAGTCGTCCACTGACCAGCACGGAGTCACTGTGAAGTAGATGCGACTCACAGGCACTGTGTTTATTGTTTTGGTTGATGAATTGCAATGCGATTTTTTTCTTTTTCTTTTTTCAATTATTTTATTGAGGGCTCGTACAATTCTTATCACAGTCCTGCAATGTGATTTTGTATCACACCCTAAAATGCCCAAGTGCAGAATAAGCGTTGTTTCTGCACACACTTCTCTTGCTTTTTGTGAGCCTGGCTTTGTGCCTGATAGACATCTGCAGGGCTGAGTTGAACACAGGCGGTGCCCTGGGTCAGAGACTGCCCTGAGGAGCTTCAGCCGCAGGAATGGTTTACACTTCATTATAAAACTTAATATGATTTAAAATGCCATTACTAGTTTTGAGAAGTAATACAGATACATGGGACAAAATTCAGCTCTAATCCATGTGAAGTTACCAGAAGCCAGGATCAAGTTGACAGCGATAGGCTGAAGGTGTTTACAAGCATTTCCGGGGACAGGCAGCACAATGAGCCTGGAACCTCCCATGTCTTGGTGCCTAGATGTTCTCGGTGTCACGATGAAACTCAAGTCTTTGTGTTTTTACTCCTGGTGCCGTTAGTCAGAATGTCAGCTTTAAATAGATGTGAGCAATGCCTCTTCCTAAAACTCATGCCCACCACTCACCCGTCAGGGCGACATGCTCTGCTGGCTGACGTGCTGCTGTGATACTGAAAGTTATAGCACTGGTATTTCACATATCAAAGGGGTCATCTCCTTTAGTGATGGTTTTAGAGAGCATTCAGAATAACACGGATGAGGAAGAAGGACCTATCCACCTCTGAACAGTATTGATGTGTGAAAGCCTTACGGGTAACTACAAAACATTGCGTGATATCATGCTAGAAGGAGAACCCCTCTGGATGGAAAGGATTCCAAATATGACTGGGTCCGAGCTTCTGCCTCAGAGTAGAGTGAGCCTTACTGATGTGGATGGAGCAACACTCTGGTATTCTTCATTTGCTGGGGCGGAACAACGCAGAGTGACAAGGAACAACCACGGACATATGTTCATAATAACAATGTGAACTAGATGAAGGGAACATCAAGAGATGTCAGAAAAGGAAAGAGAACATGTGAAGATCAATATCCCAGGTATCACCACTATCCCAGGTAGTGGTGGTTCGGTGTCAGGGAGTGGCTTCTAACCCATAGTGACATTATGCACAGCAGAAGGAAACACTGCCTCATCCATCCCTATCTTCACAATCGTTTGAATGAGTGAGCCCATTGTTTCAGCCACGGTGTCAGTCCATCTCCTTGAAGGCCTTCCTCTTTCCCCACGCTTCTCTCTTCACCACAGCTGATGTCCTTCCAGGGACTGCTCTCTCCTGGCCACGTGTCCAAAGTGTGTAGGTAAGAGTAATTCTCTTGTGAGAAGTGTTGAACGAGCCCCCAATAAAATACTTTGGGAAAAGAAGGAAATGTAATTCATACCATCCTTGACTCCAGGGGACACTCTGACCATACTTCCAAGAGATATCAGTTTGTCTTATGAACAGTCCCTGGTAATATCACTATTCTTCTCTAGCTCCACAATTCAAGTTCATGGATTGTTTTTTGGTCTTCTTTATTCAATGTCCAAATTTGACATGCATATGAGGCAATTAAAATTACCCTGGCTTGGGTAAAGCACAGTTTACTCCTCAAAATAACATCCTTGCTATTCAATATTTGATTGTCAGAATTCTTTTCTAGTAAATTTATATGTGTCAACATGTATTTTGATTTCTTGACTGCTGCTTCCATGAACATAGATTCTGGATCAAAGCAAGACAAAAATCCTTGACAACAACCTTTTCTCCACTTGTCATGATGCTATTGGTCCAGTTGTGAGGATTCGTCTTTTTCACATGGAGTTGTAATCCACACTGAAGGCTGCAATCCTTGATTCTCATAACCAAGTGCTTCAAGCTTCCCCCACTTTCAACAAGCAAGGTTGGGTCATCTGCTAATGGGAGGTTGTTAATAGGCCTTCCTCCAATCTTGATACCACATTCTTCTTCATATAATCTACCTTCTCTGATTACTTGCTCAGCATACAGATTGAATAAGTATGTTGAAAGGATACAACCCTGACACACACCTTTTCTGATTTTAAAACATGCAGTATTCCTTTGTTCCATTTATATAACTGCTCCTTCATCCATGTACAAGTTCCACATGAGCACAAGAAAGTGTTCTGGAATTCTCAAGGTTATGTTCCACACAGTCAAATGTCTTGGCATAATCAATAAAGCAGAAGTAAGCATCTTTCTGATATTTTTAGCTATCAGTTATGATCTGACATCAGCAAGGATTTTTCTTGTTCCACGTCCTCTTCTGAATCCAGCCTGAATCTGTGGCAGCTCCCTGTAGATGTACTGATGCAACTGACGCTGGATGATCTTCAGCAAAATTTTACTTGCATGGTATATCAGTGGTACTATTCTATACTTTTAGCATTGGTGGGGGGGGGGTCACCATTCTTCAGAATGGGTACAAATATAGATCTCTTCCAATCATTTGAATAAGTAGCTATCTTCCAAATTTCCTGGCATTGATGAATGAGTGCTTCCAGTGGCTCATCAGCTTGAACAACTTGAAACACTTAAATCGGTATTCTATCACTTCCTGGAGCCTTGTTTTTGCCTAATGCTTTCAGTGAAACTCAAACTGCTTCCTTCAGCATAATTGGTTCTTGTTTAAGTGCTACCTCCTGATATGGGGGATGTCATCTTTTCAGTACAGTGATTCTGGGTATTCTTTCCTTTCCATCTTCTTTGAATACATCCTACATCATTTAATATTTTGCCCAGATAATCTCTCAATATTCCAACTCTATACTTGAATTTATTGTTCTTTTATGTGTACTTCTTGTGTTTTATGGACTATACAAAGGCATTCAACTGGATGGATAATAACAGACAGTGGACAGCCTTGAGAAGAATGGACATTCCAGAACACTTCATTGTGCTCATGTGGAAACTGAACATGGATCAAAGTGTAATTGTGTGACCAGAAGAGAAAAAGGGAATACCATGTGGTTGAAAGCAAAGTGTGCATCAGGGTTGTTTGAAATTATTTTCGAGTTCCCTCACTTTAAGATATGCTGATTGCTAGCTTCCCTTTTGGTCTTCTAATTCTAGGTCTGTGCACATTTCCTTATAATCATTGTCTTTGTCTTTCGGAATTGCCGCTTGAAATTTCCTATTCAGCTCTTGACTGCATCCATTCTTCAACTTGCCTTAGCTATCTAAAACTAAGAGCAAGTTTCAGAATCTCTTTGACATCCACTCTGCTCTTTTCTGTTTTTCCCTATCTTGTTAATGACCATTTCCTTTTTCAATGAATGATGCTCTTGATGTCCTCCCACAGTTCATCAGATCTTCTTTCATTAGTTTTCAACGCTCCAAATCTGTTCTTGAGATGTTCTCAAAATTCTGGTGGGATAAACATATTTTGTGTCTCATGGATTGATTTTAATTCTTTCAGTTTTTCCTGAACTTACATATGAGAGATTGATGGTCTGTTTCACAGTCAGCCTCTGGCCTGGTTTTAGCTGCAAATATTGAGCTTCTCTACAGACTCTTCCAATAGAGTTAGTCAATTTTATTTCTGTATATTCCATCTGGAGAGGTCTATGTGCATTGCCTCCATTCATGTTATTGACAACGTGTGTTTGCTATCAACAAGCAGTTGGTTTTACAAAATTCTATCATATGATCTCCAGCCTCCTTTCTTTTTACCAACTTTCTATTTTCCAACCACTCTTCCTTCCTCTTTGTTTCAACTTTTACATTCCAATCACCAACAATTATCAATGCACCTTGATTGCCTGTTTAATCAATTTCAGACTGAAGTTGTTGGTAGAATTCTTTAATTTCTTCATCACTAACATCTGTGATTCGTGCAAAATTTGAGTGGTAGTTGTATTGATTGCATTTTCTTGAAGGCAGATAAGGATCCTATCATAGACAGCATTGTATTTCATGATGGATCTGGAAATGTCCTTTTTGTCAATGAATACCAAGCTATTCCTCTTGATTTTGTTATTACCAGCATAGTAAATCATGATTTTCTGACTCAAAATGGTCAATACTAGTCTATTTCAGCTCACTAATGCCTAGGTGGTGATCTTTATGTTTTCCATTTTGACCACTTCCAATTTTCCTCAATCCATACTTTGCACATACTAAGTTCTAATCGTTAGCAGATTTTTTGGCTGCTTCTCCTTAACTTGATTCAGCCTATATCAACAAATGAGGATCTTGAAGGCTCCACTACTATATGCTCTACTCGACTCATATCACACACTCTGAGAAATCATCCCTGCCTTAGTCACATTTGAGTGCTCTTGGACCGAAGGGACTCATCCTCCAACACCATCTCCAACATGGTTCTGCTTCTTTAACCATCTACTGTCTGACGATGTTTGAATTTATGCATGTAATTTTCAGTGGCTACTTCCTCCCAAGTGGGAAACTGAGTGGTTCCTCACTGTCTGTTCTTAGTCTGGAAGTTCCACTGAAAAGTGTTCTCTTTGCATGATCTTGCTGTCACTTGAAATATCAGTGGCATAGCTTCTAGCATCACATAAACACACAAGTCACCACACTAAGATAAACTGACAGACAAGTGTATTATAGTCCACCTGAAATTGAGACTCTCTTGAGAACCAATTTGATGCATTGAACACTAATGACCAAAGACCAGATAAGGTGTACGATGACATCAAAGGAATGATACCCAAGAAGAGTAAAAGGGCGTTAAAAAGAGT